AAAAACAAAATCAATATTGCCATGGATAACAAAGTAAGCCCTCAAACAACCGACGATTTAACGTCAGATAGGTCGTCTACACAGGTTAAGTATTAATTTTAAAGAGACGCCCAACATCTTTTACTGGCTTTTAACGCAAAGATCGCGAATTTAGTACCTATTTGCACTTCATTTATTATTCATCAGATAAGCATTTTCTGTCTATTGAGCTCACTATGCATTTGTTCCGGTATTATTTGACCAAGAACCTTTCTTTTCTTTCAGTTCACCTCTCTTCAAACTAATTTGCATGAATCCCACTGAACAACGTAGTCATGCGATCGTCAATAAAGTTACATTTAAACGAAAGCATATATACCTGGGCTTTCTTAAACTAAGAAAGACCACCTTAACGCTCGTAAAAACTGCTCTTTTTGGATGGAAGGGTAACGGCTAAGAAAAATGTCACTGCATAATGTACGCAATTTTCATTGGAAAATTTTAATATATGGTTGCATCGCTAAAAGAATTTGTCCCATTGTTTAGCCCAAAATATGAAATCCACCGTGAACACTGCTATACATCGTACAGATTTTGGATAACCGACCTAAGGTTTCTCAGGTCTACGCCTTGCTTGAGGAATGCACACTTGTGTTTCCAAGGAGACACTTAAGTAATTTGAGTCAACTGGGCTATTACGAACACAGTGTATCATTAAAGGCTCAACACCAATGGTAAACGGAAAACTATTTTCGCGGTGAAACTAAAAATTCAAGTACTACGCAGCGATACTGCATTGGAGACGCACATGCTTTAACGCCAATGCAGTCTGCAAGAAGCATAATTGCTAAACTAACGAGAATTAGGGACAACACTCCGCAATCCAACGGAAAAGTTGCAAGGTCTACGGATAATGCTCAGATCTCAGGATAGCACATGACAGATCAAATGCACTGTGATTACGGCCAACAGACAGTTGTTTATTTGCAAGCAAATTTTACAACGCATGAACATTATGGCTTTTGAACTTTGTTGGTGTCTTCGGATGGGACTGAGCGTTTCCGCTTAAGTCCTTTTATCCTGGTATATCTAATTTCGTCCAGATTCTGTTTCACATGAATGCGACCAAGCCTTGTTCCAAAAACGTCCATCGTTAAGTTCTTCGTCTTCCTGACCTAAAATGTAAACAACTAAGTTAAAGCCAGTTATTAAAAGTTACTCTCAGAAATGGAAAAAACAACGCCGACGTGTCCTCAAACTTGAAAATTTTAATGCTGCAGAGTGCAGACAAGCCAGCATCATAGTTATTTCTTCAGTCAGCGGGCATCAGAGAATTGAAAACTGATACTTGATGACTTCAGAAACAAGACTGCAGCAGCAAGACTAAGTTGGTAAAACCTGATAGTCATGTTCAACTGAAAAACAGAATTAAGCATAAGCTTACTGTGCCTTGCCACGCAGAAACAGTGAAATAAGACATATTCAAAATCAAATTTAGAAGGGGCGTTTACAGAAACCGTAGGGACTGATCATGAAACTCGGTCGGCTTTCACAGTTTCACAGATTTTCGAAACGAACAATGTAACAACATAACTACGTGCAACCCTTCTAATTCTAAAAAAAACAAAGGTTAATTCGCTAATGGTCACTCCAAAGATGGCAAGAGTACAAAAGCTGCCTTAAATGCATATATAAACACGCGATCCTTATGTTTCTAATATAAAAAGCTCACGCAGCAAAAATCTAATAGATTGCCGAGAGATCAAACAGGGACTAAGTTAAGAGTTTCTGTAGATTATTATATTAAGGAGACGGCACCCCTGTGCAGTTTGGCTTACATCCTAGTATCAAGTGATTTTAAACAATGATACCAAAAATGCTAAAAATCTAAGTTTAACTGTGAAACTACAGTAACCACATACATCAAGAGAAGACCAACGGATAAGATGGCCAGGGATAAACAGGCAAGCCAAATTTCAACAAATACAACTTTAAAGCATTGCTAGTTGCTTAGACAAAATCGAATCATGCGCTAGAATCAGGACACCCAAAATAATAAACGTCAAGTAATGTAGCGCCCATGCTACTGCTTAATTATGCATACAGCAAACCGAGTGTTACAAGCACGAGTCATGCAGCGTAAAAACATCGGTTAGCGAATACGCATTCACAAACGTGGACAACGCAACGAGGCTGCACAGTTTCGAAGTGATTCAAATTCAAGAGCGGATATGCCGAACTGTCTAAAACATGAAACTGCAAAGTTCGGTCTGATTTCATTGAGGAAAACCGGTTGCAAAACGCTGCTGCAACCTAACGGGTCGCTTCACAACCTGAAGGCGGATGGCATTAGTGAAAAGATGCATTTGCATTGAAAGCATACGTAGCTACTCTAGGAATACAGACAAAAGACAATGTGTAACCTTCATAACACGCTGCGTTAGGACCCGAAACTTGGACTAACACGAAAGAATGTTAGAAGGCTGCCATTTGCTTATTACGACGGCAGCAGCAGCTTTTCAGTTTCAGATGTAAACTTACCTCATGCGACCAGGATTATCTTTAGTAGAAACCGACAATGCTGCAACAGACAGCGAGCGAGTTGAACATTCCCAGAAAAAAGGAAAGTTTGTAGCAGTTCAGACCTAAGTTTTATTTACATTTCCATCACTGACGGCCAGCATTTTTTATCAGAAGCTTATCTAAATGGAGACTGGCTATAGCGGACAGTATCGTCTTTTCCTTTTAAAAACGTACTTTGTTTACCTGCAGAAAATCGAAAGTGACTCACCTCCCAACGATACTCTTACTGGGATAGGACGATCTACTGACTGAGCCACCATGACAGAAAAGGAAATCTGCTTACAATGTTACAGTTGTTTACACACTATTAAGCATGTTTGAGCTACCAGAGAAATTAAAATGTTTCCCGGGTCGTTTGAAAAAATTCCTGCTATGGCAATTTCCAGTGCAATGGTTTTACCATCGTGAAAGCGATCTACTGCTTGTCATAATCAACAGCCTCGTCAAAAACTATACGTTTCGTGATTGACTCGTCAATCAACAAAACTCAAAATCTGAAAAGAAAACAGAATACAAAGAATGATGCTGACCTTAACAGCCCTCGGCGTTTTGCAAGCTGACTTGTACAAGTCGTTGGAGGCAGTTCGGTTTCGTCTTAAAGTAAGATCACAGGAGGGTCCTGCGCTTTGCAATTCAACGTGAGGTACACGGCTATCGGACTTTTTTAGCAATATCCTAAAACACGAATAGCATATTAAATAAGTCCAAGAAAAGAAGTGCAAAGAAAAGAATATTTAGCTGCAGCGTTGAACTGAACTATATCAAATTAAAAGAGGTTTATATGACTGTGTATCTTACATATTTAGATGAAGAAAATGTAGTACTGCAAATATTTCTGTATTGTAATCGGTCATAGATAAGAAATTGATGTTCGTTTCAGGTTTTCATCCATTTCTCTACCGCACCTACTATGCCGTTAATTTAACTTAAATCGGGCGCCCTCGTCCTCTGTACCCTGCGACATGCACTGCAAAAGCTTTGACTGGCAATCTGTTGGCTGCGATTCTTCACACATGCAAATGCAACTTTAGCCATCGACATTCTGCTCCATTTACTATTGTATCCTGCATTCTTTTAATCGAGTCAGAATTATATCCAGTCTTGAAACACTTTAGATTCTTTTCAAAATGATTCCGTTATATTCATTACCAACCGTCCATATTCCTTTCTCCTTTTTATAGTGATCACGCTTTGAGGCATAGATGACAACTGGTAGAATTAGAACTGTATACAATCATACTTTGTTTTCGCGCGTACGTTCTCTGTTCTTGTTCAGCAAAACTGTCCAATGACTGCAGGATTCAATTTAATCCGCTTTTCAACATTACGAGTGCACTCTCCCTTTTTCATCGTCAAATCACACAGAACACACCAGTACTGTTACTGAACAATAATACCAATGTTGCTGATAAGACGAGTATGACAAGTAACATAACCACTTATACTAGTATAACTGGTACTTATATTATTATAAGTAACAGTGCTACCAGTAGAATAGCCGCCATTACTGAACATCTGAATTAATATTAACGTTCAGAAAGTGGCACCTCTAATAACAGTGCAGTTACTCAAAAGAGCATTTAGCGTTATAAATAATATTAATATTACAATTCAGTGCCAAGAGCACTTCCAATAATATGATGATTAACAGTAACGCCAGTAATACCATTAATACTACAATCCAGGTCCAGTAACAGGAGTACCGTAAACAGTAAGTAAGGAACTGGTTCACTGATGAATTAATTCATTGCCTGTTTGAATCATAATTAATGGTCTCGCTTCCCTATCCATAACTCAAAGCAGCAATCAAAAATAATGATATAAAATACTTTATTTGCCGACGCGTTTAAACGCCGCACACCAGCATCATTAGTGTAGTAATTCTGACTTATAATGTTACAGTAAAAGTACCACTCTTAGGAGTGTAGCTCTTACTGAATATTAAAACTGATGACGTGACAACCATGATAGTCATATAATTAGGGTTGCAATCGACATTAGAAACGGTGTTCTGTAAAAG